AACATTTCTTATTCAACGGCGATTAAAATTATTTATATTAATGATGTCTCTAAAGTTCAACGAAGTTTTCGCAGAAAAATAACATCTGAAATCGCGGCTGCGGTTTGCTGCGCTGTTCCGCGACGAAAACAAGCTTGAGCAACGGCGATGTCGAATGGTGCACACTCGGTAAGTAATCCTACAATTTTTTGTTTATAGCGTAGTTTATACGGATTATTTCCAAAAAAAATATACGTATTTTGGAAATGTTGAGTCGAATTAGTCTAGAATCGATTAATTTTATGGAAGAAAACCTTTCAATTAGCCGTAGTCCGTAAACTTTACACGTGGCAAATACGTGAGCCAATCACAGCCCAAGGATTCCTATAACGCGAAATTCGTATAACGAGGAACGTATCTTCGCGTTATAGGAGAATCTACTGTATACGAGTATATAATATATGTTTTCACTTTCATCGCGTAAATTTAGGCTACTGTTATGTTTTTTACACTTTTACTGTAGATAATAAGCCTAATCCTGTTGTTTTTTTTCAATAGAAGCCCATTAGAGCGTTCAGTCAGGCCAACAATAATGGGATAGCCGGGTGGTGACGGACGAGGTCCGATATATCCGGACGGAGTATTTTCCGAAAAATCCCTAGAGTTTTTCGACTCGCCCATATTCGATTCCGGCTCCCCAGGGCAGTAAGCTGCCATCATAACCGCTCGGGCATGTAGCCGCCGACAGACATCGTGAAATCAAAAATATAAATTTTATTTTCTCTGAGGAAGTAATTACTTTTTATTTTATTTATTTTTTTGTTAAAATTTTAATATTTAATTTATTATAAAATTGACAATTTCCTTTAATTTTGAATAATAAGTTTAAAACAAATTTTTACGCTAGAGGGAGAAATTTCTAAACGCAATCGAGAAAGCAAGATGGCCACGTGCATAGGGTGAGTTAGCTTATTCTCTGCTGTTTGTTTTCTGAAGTTTCTCTGTTAATTTCTTTAAATTTTGCCGCAAGAACGTGCAAGCCGAAATTCAATTAGTTTCTACGTTTAAGATGATGTATATTATGATTAAATAACAACAAATTATATAATACATGGTCATTACTTCAACAAAGTGTTACTTGTTGCAACTTTGTTTGATGGACTTTGTTAAACAAGATAAGACCGGCAAAAGATAGCATAATTGCATTAAATATCACATTGTGTAAATTTTACAATTAAAATAAATCATTTATTATTAAAAGAGATATTTAAAATAATAATTAAATTTTAAATATCTCAATTGTATGCAGATTTATGCTGAAAATTATAAACAAATAGAGATACAGTTAAACTTTTGAGTGAGATGGTCAAGACCTTATCGGAGCTGTAGAGCGTACCCATAGGTGCCAAAAAGTCAAAGGAACCATACCTCTACCTGTGACCCTTTGCCAGATATGCTCCCAAAATCAGCCTACTTCTGGGTTGCAGGCAATTGGGAGTTGCTTCACTCTGCTAAAACTTGCATTTAACTATTTAGCCTGTGCAACTGTGTTCATGGAGTATGTACTTGATGATATGTAGTTTTAGGAAGGTGTCTAGATGTGAGTGATAGTGAGCACCAAAGCATATAAATATGCAGAGCATGGAGAATGGGCAGTACACTGGTAAATGGTAAAAGCTGATCTTTGGAAGCGAATATTTCACAAAGGGTTGCTTGAACATACAATTATACATATATTGTTCCTTTGATCTTGTATACAGGGGAGTAGGAAATTCCTCATTCAGTTTGTTTATTTGTTTTGTTAAGTTATGGTAATGCAATGCTTGGGCAATCTGTCTAGGGGAATGCCTTCTGGGAGGTCTTTTTAAGGGCAACTGGCCCCTATTCAGGTGTTAGACATGGCCAGTCCATCTGAGTGAGGCACAAACTCTCAACTGAACTGCCAGTGTACAAGGAACAGAACCACTTCGCCACTTGTGGACCATTCAGAGTTTACATCTTACCCAAGTAGACATTGTTTATATGCTTCAACATACCTAATAATTTTATGATAAATTATTACTTAAGAAATAAGTGTAATGAGAATAAAATTCAGTTAAAATTTAATCTCATATTACATCTGTAACCTAATTAGCATCAGCTAGATTTAATTAGTGTATAATTAATTTTGTCATTATTTTGATTCTACAATATATTGTGTTGAATAAATTAATTTAAGTTTTTGTAATGTTTTATTTTTAATTTTCATAAAATTATTACACTGGAATCCTAATATCTTAGTAAAAATTTATTAATTTTGATAAAAAAGTAGTAAAAGATATTTTATTTTAAAATTACATTTGAAAGAGATTTCCCTTCAATAAAGTAAACTGAAAAATATTGTTTTAAGTCATTGTATTTACTGTCTGAATTTTTGTATTTGTATTTAAGTTTCAAGTTACTTTGAAAATATTGTGTTAAATATTTGTAAAGTTTGCTGCTATTTTTCAGTTTATTATATCAATGGAAAATATTTATTATATAAGTTGGAAAATGCAAGGTAGTGCACAAAATTTTGTTCAATTTTTATAACATTTATTACTATAACAAATCACAGCTTGAAGCATACAATATAAGAAAATATTTATTATTACTGATATAATATTTACTGATAAAATTAGACATGAACTATGTATAAAGTGAGCCGTAAGTGCTTTGAAATTTACCATTAATGGATTTCATGTTCAATATGATTTCCATTTCTTTTTACTTCTTGGAGATGTACAATTGCATTGGTAACCATTTGATGATGCAGATCTTTAGATAACATGCAGCAGAATCACATGATTTCAGTTCTGATTTGGTACATAATTTCTAATGTGCATTTAAGTTTCAGTCTTTCTATTTTATAAAATTAACTTTTTAATTGTTACATTAAAAAAAACTTTTTTTAAATGTAAAATAATTGGATTGATGGAATAAGGCAACAAAAGGCATGGGCGATCTGCCAAGGGTGGTGCCTCCCAGGTGAATTTTCTATTTGAAACTTGCCCCTATTTAGATAACAGAATAACTCAGAGAATTCCACCTGTCCAGCCCGTTGGTAAGGCGCAAACAGGCGACCAATTATCGAATTAACCGTTTACAATGCTTGGTGGATCTTGGAAAAGATAATAGAGAGGTTGAGGCACAAGTTCAAACGTTAAACGTGTACGGGTAGCAGAAGAACACGTTACACGTTTCAAGTCCAAGTAAAAATCGTTGAGGCACACGTTCATAACATCACGTGACNTTTAGATAACATGCAGCAGAATCACATGATTTCAGTTCTGATTTGGTACATAATTTCTAATGTGCATTTAAGTTTCAGTCTTTCTATTTTATAAATGTAAATGCTCTAAAAGAGGAATTTATGCCAGAAAATTTTTAGTGTATTAAAAATTTGGCTTCTATAAAAGATGATGCGATTTACTAATAGAAGTAATTATTATTTTTCATTAATAAAAATATATAAATAATTACACAAATACCCAATTTTATATTTATATGAATTTGTAATAATATTTTTGGATTTATTTTATAAAAATTTATTTATTTTTAGAATTATTTAAATTAATTTGAAATTCAAAAAATTAATCAAATTTAGACAAATTCATCACTTTATGTAGTTGATGTGACATTGCATCATTTGGTATCCAGAGAAGGAGGTTTAAAAATGTCTTTTCTTTCCAAAAAAATAAAACTTTAATTATAATTTTACAGTTGATGATAGGATGACACTGTTGTAATTATCATAAAGTTAATTCAATTTAAATTCAATATATTTTTTTAGAAATTGTATAAATTATACGTATACAGTGGTACCTTGGTATACGTCTGCTTTAGAATATGTCAAATTCGGAATACGTCCTATTTGGACGAAACAAATTTTGCTCAGTATACGACTTAATTCAATTCTACATGTCATCTATGAGCAAGTAGCACTATCGGTGTACTAGACCAGACTAGACGTTTGCAGTGCCACAGTTTATAACTTTGTTAAATTTCTTCTGATTTTAATTTGTAAGTAAAATTTTATTATTTTTATTAATCATGATTGCAAAAAGGCAAATGAAAAGCAACAGAAAACTAAAAAAATTTAATAGAATCACAATGGAACTGAAAAAAGAAATTGTTGAGAAATATGAAGGTGGCATGCGTGTTCGAGATTTAACTGTTGCACACCATATTCTGAAAATGATGATATTGACAGTTGTGAAAAATAAAGACATTATTAAATCTGCTAATGTTGCGAAAGGAGTTAAATCAATTTCTAAACAGAGATCGAAGACATTAGATCATGTTGAGAAATTGCTTTTGCTTTGGATAACTGAAAAACAGTGTGCTAGAGACAGTGTATCAGAAGCAATTATTTGTGAGAAAGCTAAAAAGATACATGCTGATCTCATGAAAAATCAAGCAGGAATTAACCAGCCAGGAAAGCGAGGTGTTTAAAGCCAGCCATTTTTTTTTACATGAGAACGGATTAATCATTTTTACATTACTTCTTATGGGAAAGGTTGGTTCAATATATGTCATCTAGAAGTCCTTGCTTTCTGTTTCAAGAAATCTATGATTACTACTGCATCCAAACTGCAATGACTCATAACAGTCAAGAATAAGTGCAGAAACTTATCAGACACTGTAGTCCTCTTACATGCCAATGTGAGAATGTGCACTGCCAATATGATTCATGATGTGATTGAGAACTTCAAGTGGAATCTTTTTGCAACATCCACCACACAGTCAGGACTTCTTGCAACCTTGCACCTTGTAACTTTCATGTGTGTGGTGAAGAAGTACCTGAAGGGTTGCAGTTTTGCCTCAGATACAAATCAGACGGTTACACGTCTTTATTTTGAATCAGAAACCAAAGGACTTTTACACCAGGCATGCTACCAAGTGGGACAAATGCCGAGATGCTAGTAGTCATCACTTTTAACTTCCAGGAAAAAATTTGTGAACAAATTATGTTGGCTTATTCTCATTTAACTCACCCTTACATATATATAACTTATATATATAAACTATAAAGAATAGATTTCTTTTATTTTAATTATTCTGATAAAAGTACCAAGGGATATAAAATGTATTTGACTAATTTCATGGCAAGTGGAAGCAAGCTATATTAAATGCTCTAAATATTCTTAGCAAAACATTCTTATTAGAAAGATAAATAATTACAAATTTATTTTAACAATGATTTGTTGAAGAATAATTAATACTATTTATTTGTGAATTATAGTTTTCTTATGTTTCAATTCTGTATAATTTAAACGTTGAAGTCTCAAATAAGATTTCAAGGTTATATATACAGATAGATTATGCAACAAACAGGAAAATTCATATGACTGCTGATTAAGGAAACCAAAGACTTTCATTTGAGAAATGCTTTTGACTTGGTTCAAATTGTCATTAGCTCCAATACATTAATGAACAATGTATCTGTTCATTGATAATGTGCTAGTATTGTCTGTTGAATGTATATGTATTGGTATTGTTCATTACAGCCTTTCAAAACTTTCTGAGATTTGAAAAGCTGTTCCAACAAGCATTTTCCTAAGAATGAACTGAAGAAGGTCCAAGAAGAACCAAAAACATTTTTTTTGAAAATTAAACAAATTTTGGTTACTTTAGAAGCAGATGGTCTCTCTTTCATTAAGATTTAGATTAAGATTAGCTGAAATTACACTTAAAAGCATATATCAAGTCTAACTCTCACTGCCACTATTTTTTTTATTTATTATTATACCATTTTTTTTTATTCCTCTTTTTGTTTTATCATCTTGTATGTCAAGTTGACTTGACATACCAGATACTAACAATGACATGAATTTCAAGAACTGACAAAAAAAAAAAAACTTCTAGAATAACTAAGTATCAAGTGTAAAACATTAAAAAAATGAAGCTCAATCTTTTACTATCATATAATAGTTATTTT